GGGCGGGGCAGCGGAGTAGGGCAGGGTCGGGCGGGGCGCAGAGTGGGGCCGGGGCCAGCGCTGGCCACCGGACCCCCAGGTGTCAAATGCAAAATGAACCCCCCATCCTCTCAGCCAGCCGGGGCGGCCAGGACTGTACTCGTCCCTCGGTGCGGCTGGGGAAACTAGGCTCGGAGGGAGGCTGAGGCTGCACCATTGTGACCTCAGGCCTCCAGGTCAGACCGCTTGGCACCTGGGCCAATAGACCTCCCTCAGCCTCCTGACACCAAGACCAGGGTGCCCGCGCGCCAGCACTTTGAGAAGGGAAACTCAGGCATCTGGAGCCCAGCAGGGGAGGGGAGCATGGTGGAAGCCACAGCTAGGCTGGGTGCTGGGGCTTACCCCTGCAATCCCAGCACTTTGGGAGGCCGAGGCAAGAGGATCACTTGAGGCTGGGAGTTTGAGACCAGCTTGGACAACATAGGGAGACCCCGTCTCTATAAAAACAAAAACGATGAGCCGGGCCTGTGGTCCCAGCTTTTCGAGGGGACTGAGTTGGGAGGGCTGTTTGTAGTCCATGAACTCTGGTCAGGCCACTGCACTCTAGCCTGGGCAGCAGAGCAAGACCCTGTTTCTAAAAGAAGAAAAATCCACAGCGTGAGGGCAGAGCCCCTGCAGTACCAGCCACACCCAGACTGGGTAGGGGTCTTCGGGTCCTCCTGTACCCACCCCCCATCTCTCTGGGGCCCATGCCAGGCTGAGACTCTCTGAGGACCATGGGGTCTTCATCTGAAGGTTGGGTATTGGCAGCCTTGGGGACATTCACATCTGTGGGGACCCATGGTGGCCTGGGCTGGGTGGGCCCAGCTAACGGAGGGTGCCCGGTTCCTGCTACTCATCAGGGGGTCCCAAGCTGACTTTTTCCTCCCCATGAAAGGCCAACGGCAGGTGGGGAACGCAGCAGTGCCAGCTGGAGTTCCTGTCCCGCTTGGCCATGATGTCTGTGACCTTGGCCAGGAATGTGGGGTCTAGGCACTGCCCACCCGAGATGGGGATGAGCTTGTCACACTCCCCATCCATCCAGCTTGTCGCCACTTCCACCGTGGCGCTGAGGCTGAGGGATCCCTGTGGCATGGGGACTCCGGTTTCTCGGCATCTCAGGGCCCGAGGGACGGGGATTGGGGTGGGGAAGCTAGAGTCTGTGCCCCTAGGCTGCAGGGGGCCCAGTGCCTGGACAGCCACCTCCGCTGTGTGAAATGACGCTTTCCAAGGCTCCATTGCCTCCTTTCTCTGCTCTACTTGGGTTTTTCCCTTTAATTCAGGGAAGAATTGGGTGGGGGAGGGGAGGAAGGTATTTGAATCAAGACCCCATAATATAAGAAAAATTACATTTTTCTTTCTGAGACGGCAGTTTCATAAAGATAATTATTGTAATTATTCATCCTATCTCTGTGACGAATGTTATTTTTATTATATGCTTTTTATCTTCATCTTCCAGTGTGAGGGGTTTCTGGGGGCGGGCAGAGGTGGCGGCCACGAGAGCCAGGCCGGTGGGGGCCCTGGGCTCCACAGGGACAGCAAGACCACATCCATGTGTGCGCACATGTGGACCCTGTTTAATTGTCCACGCGTGTGCACGGCCCAGCGTCCCTGGCTTCAGACGTTCTTCTCCCCTTCTCCTGTCACTGCCCCTACCACATTCCAGGACGCTTCTGTGGGCCCAGGAGCAGGTGCAGTGATGCTGGAATTTTGGGCCAGATGGAAATAATCTTTCCAGGCTTGGCAAGGTGGCTCATGCCTGTAATCCCAGCACTTTGGGAGGCTGAGATGGGCGGATCACCTGAGGTCAGGAGTTCAAGACCAGTCTGGCCAACATGGTGAAACCCCGTCTCTACTAAAAATACAAAAATTAGCTGGGCACGGTGGCACACATCTGTAATCCCAGCTACTGGGGAGGCTGAGGCAGGAGAATCACTTTAACCCAGGAGGCAGAGGTTGCAGTGAACCGAGATCGTGCCACTGTACTCTAGCCTGGGTGAAAAGAGCAAAGTTCCGTCACATGCAAAAAAAAAACCTCTTTCCCAGAGACTCTGCTGTGGTGCCAGGCGAGGCCCAGGGAGAGCGGGAGTGACTGATCTATGGGCTCTCAGAGGGCAGGGATTTGAACCCAGCTCAACCATTTGACTATTAATAAGTCACCTCTTTGCTGATCTGTTGAAAACAAATATATTTTAATTCATTTTCTGAGCTTACCCTGTGCTGCCCTCAGGTGAAGCAGAGCAGAACAAAAACGCAGACACCCCTAGGCTCTGGGGTCCGGATTGGGCAGAGGGAGGGGTAGGGGGAATGTCCAGGAGACTGCTGGGAAACAGGGGGCATTGTGTCTGGGGCTTTGATGTACCAGTAGGAGTTTTATGGGTGGCTTTCCACCTGGGGTCACAGTTGATTCACCAACCTGGGGAAGGGTGTACAGCTCCAGGAGGCCACTTTCCCACTCATCCCATCCCCTGTCTTCTAGCTGCCACGCCTCCCAATGCTGTGGACCGGCCCTGCCTGCGACTGAAGGTGTATGTGCGGCCAACCAGTAAGTGATCAGGGGGACGGGCAGGATCCCGGCCCCCACCCCTGTGTCCTGAACCCGCAGAACCAGTGAGTGTTCAGAAGAGCTGGGACAGGGCGCCTTGAGTTTCCCCATCTTGCCCTGCCCTGCCCCAGCCTCAGTTTCCCCATCTTGCAAACATGTCAGACCTTTGAGAGTGAAGGTTGCCTGAACGCAGTGGCTTACACCTGTTACCCCAGCACCCTGGGAGGCTGAGGTGGGAGAATCGCTGGAGCCCAGGAGGCTGAGGCGGCAGTGAGCCGAGATGGAGCCACTGCCCTCCAGCCTGGGCGACAGAGCGAGACTCCATCTCTAAAACACAAAGCAGGCCGGGCACAGTGGCTCACGCCTGTAATCCCAGCACTTTGGGAGGGTGAGGCAGGTGGATCACCTGAGGTCAGGAGTTCGAGACCAGCCTGACCAACGTGGCGAAACCCTGTCTCTACTAAAAATACAAAAATTAGCTGGGCGTGGTGGTGGGCGCCTGTAATCCCAGCTACGCAGGAGGCTGAGGCAGGAGAATCGCTTGAATCCAGGAGGTAGAGGTTGTGGTGAGCCGAGATTGCGTCAGTGCACTCCAGCCTGGGCATTGCAGCAAGACTGTGTCTAAAAAAAAAAAAAAAGAGAGAGAAAAGAAAACGAAATAATGAAAGCAAAGCCAAAGTTAAAAGGGTGAAGGTTGGCCGGGCGCGGTGGCTCACGCCTGTAATCCCAGCACTGTGGGAGGCCGAGGCGGGTGGATCACGAGGTCAAGAGATCGAGACCATCCTGGTCAACATGGTGAAACCCCGTCTCTACTAAAAATACAAAAAATCAGCTGGGCATGGTGGCGCATGCCTGTAATCCCAGCGACTCAGGAGGCTGAGGCAGGAGAATTGCCTGAACCCAGGAGGCAGAGGTTGCGGTGAGCCGAGATCGCGCCATTGCACTCCAGCCTGGGTAACAAGAGCGAAACTCCGTCTCAAAAAAAAAAAAAA